AACAAAGCTCTCTGGGCTCTGGTGAGCGTGGAATGAATGCAAAAGAGCAAAAAACAAACGAAGAAACTGCAGAGTCATTTTGGCTCTTAGGAAGGCAGGACCTGGCTACTTCTTACTGGAATTACTAACACAAAGTTTCCAAAGCATCTGTGAGAGAGAAATGCACAAATGTATAAAAAGGAAAACATGAAAAAGATGTGCCAGGACTCAGGTTGTTGGTTACGTTAGATTGGGGGCGGCAGAGAAATGAGATGGGGAAAGCTCGATGAGTACATGTGTGTGTGTGTGTGTGTGTGCGCGCGCGCGTGTGCACGCGCATGCACTCAGTCACCAAGTCATGTCTGATTCTTTGTGACCCCATGGACTGTAGCCCATTAAGCTCCTCTGTTCATGTGATTTCCCAGGCAAGAATACTGGAGTGGGTTACCATTTCCTTCTCCAGGAAATCTTCCAGACCCAAGGATCGAAACCGTATCTTTTGCATTGCAGGCAGATTCTTCACTACTGAGCCATCAGGAAAGCCCCTATATATATAAGTATATGTAACTTACTGACGAGGCTTCGTTTTGATCTTGTGAGGTGGGGACTGCAAGGATATTATTGAAATTTATATAAATACATCAGGGCTATATTTCATGCTACCTTGAATTATAAACATTTGAAATCATTACCTTTTTACTGGCACTTTTTGAAATGACAAGAAGCCTTTTGCAATTAAAAAAACCCTCAAAAATCCATACTTGCAAATGACTGTGTAAACTGTGTTGCTTTGTATCATTTTAGTTGGTGAATAAATGTGCCAACCATCTTTCATTAGGATTAGTCTCAAATTATGTGGGACTTGAATTGGGTAAGATTAAAAATAAATTTTTTTCCCCCATGCCACAGGGCATGTGGGATCTTAGTTCCCTGACCATGGATCAAACCCACACTCCCTGCATTGGAAGCATGGAGTCTTAACCACTGAACCATCAGGGAAGACCTGAAAACATACTAATTTTGTTGAAATGATTAACAAAGCCCAAAAGTTCATGACAGATCATCAAATCTCTCTCTTATTTTCTTTTTTGACTGCAATATCTTAGTTCCCCAACCAGGGATTGAACCTTTGCCCCCTGCAGTGGAAGCACAGAATCTTAACCACTGGGCCACCATGGAAATCCCAAGATCCTCAAATCTCAGCATGGCAAAACTTGGGATAAAGTTGGTTTTGCTTGAATTCCAGGTTTACAGGAAGCGTTTTCTTATCTGGGGATCAGGAGTAAGGGTGCAAACGGACTTTCCTTCCTGACTGTGACATACTGTGACAGAGTGTGGGCAGGGCTGGTTTCTCTGGAGGCCTCTCTCCTTGGCTTGCAGATGGTGGTCCTCTTGTGGCCTCTTCACGTGTCTGTTGCTCTGCCTACGTGTGGCCTCGTGTTTCTCTCTCAGAAGGACAGAAGTCCTTGGTTTAGCACCCAGACGTATGACCTCAGAGTCCTATTTATCTTCAGTGCAGTCGTGTTCTGAAGTTACTGGGTGTTAAGGTCTCAACATTCGAATTTGGGGGGAACATGTGCAATCTACAACACCCCCAAACGGCTAGAAACTGAGCCTTTTATAACTGTGGCTGCTCTCTCCCTGGTACTGGGGAACTTGAGCACTCGCTTTGCATTTTGCGCGGAGGGGGAGACAGCGACCCCTCCTCCCCCCACCCCCTCTTCACTTTCCTTCCTTCCTGCTGCTGAGTCAGTCCTGCCAGAGACCGCATTTCCCACTTGCAACCGGGAGGGGGTGTGAACCCCTCCAGTGCTGAGACTGCTGTGTCCAGGAAAACCTGGGCCACCAGCAGCTGCCCTTCCCCCATCCACTGCCTGGATGCCGACCCCCAGAGCATCTCCAGAAGTGGGGGGGGGGGGTGCTGGAGGTGGTGTGGGCGGACTGACTACACGATCTGCCTGGATAGGCCATCAAATGCAGCCCGAGGGATGGGGTCTCCACTTCGTCCTGGACCTGCCCCTAGACAACATCTCCCAGCCACCACGTAGGTCTGAGGGGAGCCGGCTGTGAACCACGAGGCACATGAGGGGACACACTGGGCCGCTTCTCCTCCGGGCGCTGAGACATGGATCACACTCACCTCTTCCAGGCTGGAATGCTCGTGGGCTGGCAGCTGACTCTGACCAGCCCTGCGTCCCCAAGGATGGAAGTCCCAAATGGCCACAAGGAGCGGGACCTCGTGGGTTTTTTGGTCTGAAACAGAGAGGTGAGGAAGCAGGAGAGAGACAGCGAGGGCGGGGGCTCTGCTGTCTGCGGCTCTGTGTTGCCAGGACCTGCCGCTTAGCTGCCCCCGACTGCCCTATTATCTACTCCGGAGATGCCCAACTGTTTAGTCGCTCAGATATCCGATGCTTCTGCGACCCCGTGGACTGTAGCTCACCAGGCTCCTCTGTCCATGGGATTCTCCAGGCAAGAATACTGGAGTGGGTTGCCTTGTCCTCCTCCAGGGGATCTTCCCCACCCAGGGTTCAAACCTGTGTATCCTAAATTGGCAGGAGGGTTCTTTACCACTGAGCCAGCTGGGAAGCCCAGAGATGCCCAGTACCCCCATTTTAAAGTACAGTGAACCATGGCACAGAGGGCTACAAGGAGCCCGCTCAGTCACGGCTGGTGCTCACCCACGTGTGAGCACCCAGGGCTCACACTCGCCCTGGGAGCCATGGTCACTCTCCTGGCCACACACTACCCCCCAGCCCCGAGCAGGAAACCTGGTCACGTAACATCTGGTCTTAGTGATGGAGACCAAAGTTGAAGCAAAGAGATGTGACCTGGAGCCCAGAGGACAGACAGGACTGAAGGCCCTCCTGGCGACCAAAGAAATGTCAGAACAGACATTTGTTGTGCAGCAGAAGCCCATGGTCATGACAAAAATCAGAGAGGCCATCCGACTTTAAATGTTAGCCTCCAGCAGCATCATGACCTTGCGGCTGGCTTCTCCCCGACTGTAACCCGGGTGGAACCGACCCCACACCCACGTCGAGGGTGGACGGTGGTTTCAGGCTGATCTGGGCAGTCACTCCCACTCATTCCCCTTCCCCAGCTACTATTGCGGGGATGAGGGCGAGACCCAGATCTAAGCCAAGCAGCATGTGGCATTCCTCTCAGAATATTCAGTTCCTGCTGAGTACAACTGAAAGAAACTTAGCGCTGTTTTGTGTGTTTTTTTTTTGCCAATGACTGGAAGAGGCCTGTCTCCAGCTGGATGTGACTGAGGAAATGTGTCAAGAGGAGCTGTTGGAAACCACATGAAGCCACGAGGGAAGCCAGCCTGAGGACGAGACCAGTGGGTGAAGGGAGTCAGAGCCGTGGCTGATGCACGGTGCCTGGATCAAGCCCACCCTGATGCCCACACCCTGCCAGACATTCAAAAACTGTTCATGTTTATACATGGCTGAGCGGCTGCTCTTTTGACCTGCAACACGAAGTGCACTTATGTAAAAAGTGAAAGCGAAAGTTCCTCAGTCGTGTCCGACTCTTTGTGACCACATGGACTATATCATGGAATTCTCTAGGCTGGAATACTGGGGTGGGTAGCCTTTCCCCTCTCCAGGGGATCTTCCCAACCCAGGGATTGAACCCAGGTCTCCCAAATTGCAGGTGGATTCTTTACCAGCTGAGCCACGGAAGCCCAAGAATACAGGAGTGGGTAGCCTATCCCTTCTCCAACAGATCTAAGTGGTTGCTTAAAATGAATTATTTATTCTTCGTGAACACTGGCATGAGGAAGTGTGGGACATTCAGACATACCAGAACATTTGTAACCAGTAGCACTGAACATTAAAATAACAAAAGTGGTGGAAAAGGCCCCGGTATTCCCTGGTTGCCTAGTGGTTAGGGCTCTGGGTTTTCACTGCCTTAACCTGGGTTCAGTCTTTGCTTAGGGAACTGAGACCTGCAAGCCTGCAGCTAAACCAACCAACCAAACAAAAAAGGCCCCAGAAAGAGGAGACTCAGGGAACTCGATGTGTACACAAAGCTTCAGGTGAAGCTGAGTACATTCCTTCAAGTTCAACAGCAAAGACAACTATGAAAAGAGACTCCAGCGCGCAAGCTTATTGAATCCAGTAAGTATTTAACCCTGAATATTAGGCCTGCTGCTACTCACTCCCCCACCTTCTCCCACAAGCACTGAAACCGACTTCGACTGCACACACGGTCCCTGTTTCTTTCTCACCTGATGACTGTTTAAAATGACGTTGGAGTTGCTTCATGAAAAGTTTTATTAAAAAAATTTTGAACAGACCACCATGAGAAACTTTGGCATCTGAAGCAGTCACTGTTATTGCTAACTCTGAATAAAAAACTGCCCCCCACCTCACGAATAACTTGCCAGCTTCTACCACTTGTTAGCTTGGAGTGGGGTGGGGTCTTCCGGGACGGTTCAGCGAGGCTGCAGCGGGGCTGGGATGTGGAAGGATGGAGGGATCTTAGGCAACTCACAGTCGGTGACCACCTGGTTAGGGCTAGACCGCGGGTGTGTGTGCCAAGAGGAGAGAAGTCCCCACTCTCTTATCCAGATACCTCCTCCACGCCCCTCCCCACCGTACTATCAGCACGGAGACCGGAGGCTGGAAACGCTCCAGCCCGGCGCTTATTTACTGAGAGCTCGGATTGGAACTCTGGCGCCCCAGGTTCCTGGTGCTCCCCTGAGTTTCCAGCCACATCCAACTTCGCAGCGTTCCCAGTACACTGGGCACGGAGGAGCTTGCCTTCTGGTACAGAGATGAGGACGCCGGGCCAAGGAGCACACATAAACCGGGAGCCGGTCATGGACCCCCGAATCCTAAGACTGTGTGGGGCTGTGCCACCCTGGGCCCCCAAGTCATAGCGCCCCCGCTTACAGCCGAGGTAAGGACCCGCCCTCCTGGTGGAGATTCAAGCTAAGGACCCCGCCCACCTGGCGGAGACTCCGATCCTAGGACCCCATTCACCTGGTGCAGATTGAGGGGGCCCCAGCCTCCCTAAATGTGGACCCTCAGGTGCCGCGTGAGGTTGGTGTTCCGGCTGAAAGTCTTCCCGCACTCGCGGCACGCGTAGGGCTTCTCCCCGGTGTGCATCCGCTGGTGCGCGGTGAGCGAGATGTTCTTGAAGGCCTTGCCGCACTGCGTGCACCGGTAGGGCTTCTCGCCCGTGTGGATGCGCTGGTGCTCGATGAAGTAGGCGCTCTGGCCGAAGGCCTTCCCGCACTCGCCGCAGGCGTAGGGCTTCTCGCCCGTGTGGCCCACCTGGTGCACCGCCAGCGACGAGCGGCCCGTGAAGTGCTTCTTGCAGACGGGGCAGGCGTAGGGCTTCGCGCCGCTGTGCAGGCGCTGGTGCTGAGTCAGGGCCGAGTTCTTGCAGAACGCCTTGCCGCACTCGCCGCACGCGTACGGCTTCTCCCCCGTGTGGTTGCGCCGGTGCAGCGTCAGCGACGAGCTCTTGTTGAAGGCGCGCCCGCACTCCCCGCACGCGTACGGCCTCTCGCCTGTGTGCGTGCGCCGGTGCTCCGTCAGGTGCATGCTCTGGCTGAAGGCCTTGCCACAGTCCCCACACGCGAACGGCTTCTCGCCCGTGTGCACCCGCTCGTGCTGGGCCAGGGACGAGGTCTTCTGGAAGGCCTTGTCACACGCGCCGCACGCGTACGGCCTCTCGCCGGTGTGTGTGCGCCAGTGCACCGTCAGGTTCATGCGCTGGCTGAAGGCCTTGCCGCAGTCCCCGCAGGCGTACGGCTTCTCGCCCGTGTGCACGCGCCGGTGGACAGCCAGCGACGCGTGCTCCAGGAACTGCTTCCCGCATGCGTCTCACCGGAAGGGTTTCTGGCCGGTGTGGATGCGCTGGTGCTTCGTCAGCGACGAGCTGCGGCCGAAAGCCTTGCCGCACTCGCTGCAGCCGTAAGCGCTCTTCTCCGCGTCCGGCCTGGAGGGATTCCCGAGGTCCGAGTGACCTGCGAGGCCCTTTCCCCGAATGGCCGACCCGGGGGCCGCCGGGGGGCACTCAGAGGCCGACTGCCGGGAGGTTCCCCGCCGCCCCGGATGGGTCGGAGTGCTCCCCCGCGGCGTGTCCACGCGGTCACCCTGCGTGCGCGCTCCGCCCAGCGCGGCACCCCCAGCGCTGTGCCTCACGGGCCCTTCTGCGGATGGCCCGTCTTCCAAAACCTCCTCCTTCGGGTCCGGTTCTTTCACTGCGGGCCGAGTGTCCACGTCTGGAGGTGGCAGAGGAAGAGAGGAGGAAACGCGCAGGGTTAGTGCTGGAAGGAAGGAACTTCCCAAGCCCGGGGATGGATAAACCGCGGGGCACAGACGGAGCCGCTAAGAGCAGAGCAATGCTCTGGCGGCACATGCGGCTCGAGCGGGCAGAACTGACTGAGGAGGGGAGCTAACACAAGGGGTGTCCCTTTGGGAGCTGGGAGGAGAGCAGGGGGCGGGTCAGGAGGCCCGCAGACCCGAGTAACGGGTTACTGCAGGGTCCATCCTGAACATCCCCTAACGGTTAGGCTTCTGGGAGTATCAGCTTTTATTAGAAAGAATACCGATACAGCTGCGGTTGGTGGCTTGTGAAGGTTACCCCGCCTTCCAGCTCCATCCCTTCCCACCCCACCCGGCTGGGGGCCTCACTCCCATCCTCAGGTGCCCAGTTCTGGGGCGCAGGTATCCCCGTGGGCTGGCTGCAGACCTCTTCTTTTCACACGTCCATCCTTCCTTGCTAATCACGACCAAGGGGAGTCTCCAACCCCCTCCTACAGGTATCCTGTTCAGTCCTATTTCCAGTCTTGAGTTCCGTTAGTGGGAACTCTGTATCCTAGACCTGATGGCTCCATTCCTGACATTTAAAAACTAAGATCTTACACAACAATGTCGTGAAAAGTGGGAGGATACAGTCACAAAAAGCCCTTACTTCTATGAGGCAATAAAAAGCATATAAATCCCCACCTGGCCTCACCAGCACCTGAGTTTGAGAACCCCTCAGCTAAGTGATGCCAGACCTTCACGGTCTGGACTTAGGTAGCTGCTTCTTTTTAAAAAGTTTACTTATTTTTAGTTGGAGGGTAACTGCTTTACAATATTGTGCTGCTTCAGTATCTTCTGTATGCGGATGCCTCTCAAGCCTATGTGCCACCCCTCCCACCGCAAACTCTTGACAGTCCCTTGGACTTCAAGATCAAACCAGTCAATCCTAAAGGGAATCAACCCTGAATATTCATTGGAAGGACTGATGCTGAAGCTGAAACTCCAATACTTTGGCCACCTGATGCAAAGAGCCAACTCACTGGAAAAGACCCTGATGCTGGTAAAGATTGAAGGCAGGAGAAGGGGGCGACAGAGGATGAGATGGATAGATAGCATCACTAACTCGATGGACATGAGTTTGAGCAAACTCTGAGAGACAGTGAAGGACAGGGAAGCCTGGTGTCCTGTGGTCCATGGGGTTGCAGAGAGTCGAATAACTTAACAACAACAAGGGACACCGTTCCATGTCAGTGCCTACAAAGATTGCTCATCTTTGAAAAACATGGCTTCTATCCTATGGCTACACCTTCATACGTTAGTCAGTCTTGTATAGGTGGGCATTTAGGTCGTTTCTTTCTTTCTTTTTCCCCTATGGAAAATTTTGCACACTTAAGAGAAAGATTTCTTAAAGGATAGATCTCTAAAAATGGAATCGTTCAAAATTGGCTGCTAATGCCAAGCTGTCCTCCAAAAGAGTTGTCCCAACATTATACTCCTAAAAGGACAGAGTCCCTTTCTGATAACTTCATAATTCAGGCTATTATTCTTTACCATCTCTGTGTACCTCATGAGCAAAAACTATTTCTTTGGCTCAGTTTATATTAATAGTTCTTTGACTACTAGTAAGGTTTAAAGGGGCTTCCCTGACGGCTCAGCAGGTAAAGAATCCACCTGCAATGCAGAAGACACAGGTGACATGGTTTGATAATTCAGCTGGGAAGATCCCCTGGAGAAGGAAATGGCAACCACTCCAGTATTCTTGTCTGAAAAATTCCATGGACAGAGGAGCCTGGTGGGCTACAGTCCATGGGGTCGCAAAGAGTCAGACATGACTGAATAACTAACACTTTTACTTTCAATCCTTTCACTGCTATCCATGTGGTAAATATTATTCCACACTTCATCATCTGTCAACTTTAGTTTTAGCTTTGAGTAGAGTGATTTCTATGTCATCACATCTGTCCATCTTTTATCTCTCTGTTGTCCTCATGTGACAGGCTGATGGCAAGTAATTCAGCAGAGCGGCCCCTCACCCAGTGAGACCAGATTCTGGAGGTTCTCCAGCCTGCCTTCTGGGCAGGCTCCAGCTGGTGCCACTCCTCCTGGGTGAAGTCCACAGTCACATCCTGAACATCACTGACTCCTGCAAGAGGAAACCCACAACCACTCGCTGCAGGGCCCTCCTCACAGAGGTCTGGAGGAATGGATGGAAAAGCCAGGAGGGTTTAGGAAGGGCACCTGGGATGCATCTGAAGTCATTTCAACAAGGACCTGTTGTGATAAAAAATAAATAAATTAATTAAAAAAAAAAACTGAAAAAAAAAAACCCCCCCAAAAAAACAAGGACCTGCCCCTTGGTTTTCTCCGTGCCTCATTATTTGGGGATGGCCCTCTAACAGAGAAATAAAACAAATGTGAGGCTGTTCAGAGCAGAAAGTCACAGGCTTGAGAGACAGAGAAGGAATCAAAGGCAAAATGATCATAACCCAGTGAATCAACATATTCATTGTTGTGTGTGTGTTAGTCACTCAGTCGTGTCTGACTCCTTACGACCCCAAGGACTGTAGCCCGCCAGGCTCCTCTGTCCATGGAATTCTCCAGGCAAGAATACTGGAGTGGGTAGCCATTCCTTTCTCCAGGAGATCTTCCCAACCCGGGGATCGAACCCAGGTCTCCAGCATTGCAGGCAGAGTCTCTACCATCTGCGTCACCAGGGAAGCCCCAGCAAAGGCAGAAAGCTAAATGGAATCCAGTCATTCATCAAAGATGCCTGAACCTCTACCAAGCTGTAGGCACCAAGTGAAGTGCTAGGAAACAGACATGGGAGGTTTAAGAACTAGTTCCTCATAGGAGCGGCAGGTGAGAATACCGGTAACTGACCCACAATCTCGTCGATACTGTCATGAAGGTACAAACAAAATTCTCCAGGTTTCTGAGCAAGGGCAGCTTTAGGGGGCATCTGGGAAGACTTTAGAAAGGTGGCACTGAGTGTAGTCTGTGGCGGAGGTTCAGTGGTCAGGTCCTTGGGGGAAATTCTGGAGGGAGGAAGAGCTTGGGCAGAGACCTGAGGCTTAAAAGGCAGATGAGACCATTGATGAATGGTGAGAAGTTCATGTAGTGGAAACACAAGCTCCTTTCTGGCTGAGCTGTAAGCCCTGGGGATGAAGTGAATGCGGCTGAGCAGAGTAGATGATGATGATGATGCTGGTGATGGCGGTGATGAGAATGGTAGTGGTGGTGATGACGATAATGGTTATGGTAATAATAATGGTAGTGATGATGATGGTGTCATCAATTGTAGGTCACCACACCTATCAAGTTGTTAGGGGAAGCACACTGATTGAAACCACCCACCCTGGCCAGGCACCATAGTAACCATTTGCATGAGTTGTTTTATGACAGGAGATCCTGATAAGGAATACAGAACTAATAAGCCACCACCAGCCGGAAGAGTTCGGGAAAGGTGGAAAGGAGACACTACCTGTCCATCTACTTCCCAGAATTCCTCTTGCTAGTATCCATCTTGGCTCAGCAATGCTTGTGCCACCAGGAAAGACTCTGAATTAGAATGATTGGCCAAAGACCACCTGGAAACTAATCCCATCACCATAAAACCCAAGACTGCGAGCCACGCGGCAGAGCAGTTCTCCTGGGTTCCCTTACCTCCTGCTCTCCACCCGGGTGCCCTTTCCCAACAAAATCTCTTGCTTTGTCAGCACATGTGTCTCCTCGGACAATTCATTTCTGAGTGTTAGACAAGAACCCAGTTTCAGGCCCTGGAAGGGGTCCCCCTTCCTGCAACAACTTCATAGGCAGTTGCTATGTGCCAGGGACTATTCTTCCCTGCCCCCCCCATACCCACCAGGTACTATTCTCTAAGTGTTTGTTATAGGTTGAACTATGCTCCCTCCCCTCCAAATCCACGTGTTGAAGTCTACCCCCAGCACCTGAGAATGGGACCTTCTTTGCAAACAGGGCCATTGGTTAAGATGAGGTCCTATTGGAGTGGGCGGGCCCTAATCTGACTGGTGCCCTTATCAAAAGGAGAAATGTGGACACAGAGACACACCCATATGGAGAACACAGTGTGAAAACTGGAATTATGGTGCCATAGCTCAGTAACTACTGGAAGGTGGGAGAAAGGCCTGAAACTGACCCTCCTCTAGAGCTTTCTGAAGGTGTGTGGCCCCACCAACACCGTGATTTTATTTTTTGTTTGTCCGTTTGGCTGCGCTGGGTCTTCGCTGAAGCACGTGGTGCACTTTGCTTCCTCGTGGTGCACGAGCGTCTCTAGT